AAAAGAAAAATGAGTTTATTTATACCTTATCCAATTCCCCCAAATTTGAAAGGGCATATGCTTTTTGATGGATCCCTTTTGGTTGGTTACTCTTTATCCACATGTCCCCCACACACCAAAACCCCTCCAAGAACTCAAAGTTCAAACACCACTGATCCATTTTCATCCAAATCAACAGTGAAGAAGAAAAAGCACCCTTCTTGAATGGCTTCAGCAACTAGTAGAGCTTCCTTCACATTCAACCTATCTTCATCACCTTCACTGACACAACCATCCACTCTAAAAACCAAAACCCATCTCACACTCCCACCATTTCACATCAAATCCCACTCAGTTTCATCTTTTTACAGATACCCAAAACCCCAATTCAATCTACAACCCAAATCTATTGATGTCTCCCAAGAAGACAAACCCATCTCAGAACAACCGATTACCGAGACACCCACTTCGGAATCCGAGCAGGAGCAGGAGGAGGAGGAGAAATTTGACAGTAGGAGGCTTGAGGAGAAGTTTGCAGTGCTGAATACTGGGATTTATGAGTGTAGGTCTTGTGGGTACAAGTACAATGAAGCTACTGGAGACCCCTCTTATCCTATTCCTCCTGGGTTGCCGTTTGATAAGCTTCCGGAGGATTGGAGGTGTGCGACTTGCGGTGCTGCGAAGAGTTTCTTTGATAGCAAGAGTGTGGAGATTGCTGGGTTTGCCCAGAATCAGCAGTATGGGTTAGGTGGTAATACTCTTACTTCTGGCCAAAAGGCACTGCTTATATATGGTGGATTGCTTTTGGGATTTGTGTTCTTCTTGTCTGGTTATTTCCTTCAATAAAACAGATTATTTGAGAAAGTTTTGAAGTTAGTATATTTGTGTTTATGTGTTTGTACATGTATAATAATTGTACATGGTTTAGAATGGAATTTAACATTGAGCAGAAGTTTATACATAACATTCGTGTAGCCATAGCGGTGTAAGTCAGCTGAGGCAAGTTTATAATTGCTTATTCTATCCTGGTATAGTTATTCCTAAACAAGCTAAGTATTCCCTGTATGATGTGTTTTATCACAATACGAATCGAGCTCAAGAAAGGTTTATTTCAGTTGATCATTAGTACTGACTGGAGTACACCAACCTTCACCATGAGTGACTCGTATATATCCGTTTTTCAAGTATGGTTGTTATTGCTTGTGTTGACTGATGTAACTGAAATAATAAAAAATAAGGCATTTGAACAATGGTGTAACGTAATATGTAAAATATGAGCCCAATGTCCTAATCCTATGCACCATCCTGTTGAAACAACAATCGTGATTTACTGTGAGCATTGAAGTTAACTTTTCTTCCCTTGCGTTTGCTATTTTGTATTCAATTCATTTATGTGTCCGTATCATCACTTTGATTTCACAGTGTTCTTTTTTGGCAATTTTCTATCTTTTTATGGCATTGGTCATTAGGTGACAGATTCCGTCTTGATAAGTTATGGGAGTGCTCATTAATACAAAACATGAGCCCAGAAGGTATAAAATTTCTTCTCATTTAGACACCAAAATAGATAGAGTATTAAAGATATGCTATGGAACGAGGCATTTTATTCTATCCCCATAGATATGTCTTAAACTCTTTCCCCCCTTATTAGATTGTTTCTACCATTATCAGCTTCCTTTTTTAATTGATTAAGATGTGTGTTTACAGTTTCACCCATATTTGTTTCAATTATTGTACATGGCATAATACCTTGAAAACATGTGAACTAAGTGTTCACAAAAGGATGTATCTTTTTCATAATATGACACTAGCTCAAGCAAGGTTTAATCCAGTTGATCATTAGTACAGACCAAAATATGCTAACCTTCAACAGAGTGGACAGACTCATGTATTCCTTTTTCAAGTATATAGGATTGTTCTTGCGCTTTGTTGCCTAAGATAACTGAAACAAAACTTCAAGGCATTTGAATGATGTCATAGCAGTAAGAGGTATATATGACTCCAATGTCCTAATCCAGTGCACCATCTCTGTTTAAACAACATCCGTTATTCATTGCGAGTCTTTTTCTCCTTTTTGTTTGCTGTTTTGCATTTGATTCATGCATGTTTTTTTTATCGTCAGTTTGTATGTCACATTGTTTTCTTTTGGCAATTAGCAATCTTGTTATTGCTTTGGTTGTTAGATGACAGACTATCCCTTGATTATTTATGATAATGCACATAGACACAAAATATGAGCCCAAAAGGTATCTCTTGATTGCTAAGAGGTATGTTACGGAAACAAGGTATTTTATTCTATCTGAACATTTATGTCTTAAAATCCTTGTGCTAACTTTATGATTAGCATTTTAAGCTTCCACTTTTTCCTTCTTTTGGTTGAGATGTGTTTGATAGCTCCACCCCGTTTGTTTCAATGCCCAAGAGTGATCCCAAATAGAAACTATTTTTTACAATCTCTTCTTCTCAAAAGATTTAGTGCTTAGAAAGACTCCGACACTATTATGAAGTGACATAGTTTGACAGAATAAAACTCAGCTAGACTGTCTGGTCTTGATCTTACTTTGATGTCATATCAATGATAAATGAGAACATTGTTTATGAGATAATGTAACTGTCCATAAGCGATATTCGTTTCCCATTTCCTTTTGCTCTGCATCCCTTTTATGTTGCACTGGTCAATTCAGATCAATTAGGTATCACTGCAGCTCCTGTCTTTCTTATTGTTGCCTACGGATCTTTTTGATTGGGGAAGAAGTACATGTACAAAAAGGAATAAAGATTGACCAAAATGAGAAACTGGGTTTGTGAGAATCTAAAACCTCAACCATGATAGATTAGTTGTTTACAGAGTAAACCTTTCTGATGGATCCAAAATGTCGATAGCTTTTTCACATGAGAGTATTCTCAACTCTTTCAGGGCATATTGTATGTGTCAATTGCATTTAGCTAATTAGCCCGTAGAGGTTGAGGTTCCATAAACGTTACTTGCTGATACTGTTCGAATTCAGTAATGTTTGGCCATGTCTATGCTCAATTGTTCAGTATACACCGACTCTATGAATAATTTTTACAGTATCAAGTGTTTTGATGGGTTATAACAGGTTATATAGAGACAACACTGGTTTCTTCCTTTCTGTTTAAGCATTGGTGATAGAGTTACCTAGTATGTGTTGCTTATATTTTGTTGAATTAATTGAAATACACGAAGCTTTCATAACTTTCTTCTTGTTTCTGTTCATACTAAGATCTGCAGGAATAGCAAATCTAAGTTTGATTACTTTTAGTTTATAATTTTATATAGTTAGTGAAATGGGGAATATTGAAAGAAAATAATAAATTCCTCTTGATTTGCTTAAATAAATAATTTTTAGAGAGAAAAATTTAGATCACAAGTTCAAGTCTTTTCTTTTATTTTTATGTTTTATGTTCAATACTTTTACTTAAATTGAGATAGAGAAATTGAGACAGAGAGCATATTAAAAAGAGACCATTAAAGTCACAAATCTCACGTAACATAGCATTCCTGATACACTAAGAGCCTGTTTGGCTCAGCTTAAAAGCTGGTCAAACTGACTTAAAAGCTGGTTTTTGACTTATTTAGTTGTTTGACAATACTCAAAACAGTTTATTTTAAGTTAAAAAAACTTATTTTAAGCCAAAAGTTAAAAGCTGGGGTAGGCGTGCTTTTTTTTTTAGCTTATAAGTTGTTTTAAGTTGATCACATTTTTATCTTTTTGTGCTTAATATTTTTATACAATCTCCAAATTACCCATATAACCTTAACATTTCTTTCTTCCATTTTTCCCTTTTCACGTTTGACATAACAACTTCAGCACTTTTATCCAAACACATAACTGCTTCTTTTAAAAATAAGTTTCAGCACTTTTAAAAGTATTTTTTTAAAGCTGCTTTTATTAAGCCTATCCAAACGAATCCTAACAGAATCATTCAATTATAGAAATATTCAACGTTCTTATTATATAATAATAATATATCAAACTCTAAAATCTTCGTAAAAAATATATTTGACAGAACAGAGTTCTTTTTTTTTAGATCGTGACCACCAAACTTAATATAAGGAGGCTGAAAATACAATAAAGTGTTATTGTAATAAATATATGTCTGCCACTTGCACATCCTATACATACGTAATTGCTTGCGTTTTTGCTCCTATGTTTTTTTTTCTATTTTTCACAGGATGAATTACCATATTACTTTATTGAATTTTTATTCATTCAAAAACACTAAATAAACTATAATCTTATCATAAGAGCCATTTTTCTAAAGATATTTAAAACGTATAACATTTGTAATTAAAAAAAAACAGCTTTTAGCTCTCAAATTGAAAAGTTTAATTGTACTTTTGAATTTTTAGCTGTCCTGACATGACGCGCTAGGAAAAGGAAATACAAGGTATATTAGGATAATTTTGGACGATTATATAATTGGATTGAGCCGAATATGAGAATATTAAAATAGATTAGGCCAAATGAGTTAATAAAGGTAATAATAAATTCTTAACAATATTTTAGTTAAATACTTAATAGTTTTTTTAAAAAAATTATATTATGACTATATAAAATATAACAAAAAATATAACAAATAAATATTATAACATATTTAAAATAAGTTGAATTAATTGGGTTAAAATAAATTCAGTTAATAAAATAAGCAATGACACCTTTCTTAAACAAACGAGTTGGGTAGAACACAATTTAATAAGTTGATTTTGACACCTAAGATAATTCTTTCGTCTTAAAACTCTCCTTAAAATGCAATTTGTAAGCATCACCAATATAGTTTGTAATTTATTGCCCGCCATTTTATATAATTTTAAGTGGAAAAATAGTAAAAAAAAACTATAGACTGAATCCTCTCCACTTTAATATAGACAACTTGCACATCACATCATACGAAGTTTTTATTTTTTTCTTTTTCTGTGTGATGCACATGTGAAGCTTCACTATTTTGGATTTGCACAGTTGTTTATATACGTATTTCCATATGGTTACTTTTAAAGTAATTTCTTTTTACATTGATTCGACAAATATTATTCCACAATATCAAAATTTTGGATGATATTTCGCAATATTTTATATTATCAATGGAGCAAGATTCAAAAAGTGTTCTCTTCTAAGTTTGCATTATAAAGTCAAAATATATAAACAAATTGAAAGAGAAATATAAATACCCACCAATCTTATTAGTTTTTTTTTTTCATGTGAGTTTTTGGTGAATCCCTGGATAAGGAAGGTAGCAACTTGTGAAAGTATCCCCCAGAGGTATTGTTTTCTCTTCCAATAACCAAAAATAGATACTATTTGAGTTAACATTTCTGATCTCTTTAAGTTAATTGTCATCTCCACATGTCTAGTTTTGGGTTGCTCCCTTCTGTTGTTGTTCTCAAGGAAAGTTCAACATCAGTTTAATTAATCTAGGGGGACACTTTTATTTGCCCCTTTTTGGTAGAGTACTATTTTTTCATTAGTAGACTCTTTTGGTATTTGAAAATAGAATGATAAATTAATTCCATGGGATATCTGTCACCTCCCATCCATCAATAACACGTATTAAGTAACTTTGTCCATCAAAACTAGGACAGATGTGAAAGAATCACGTTGTGTATTTTGTCTCTGCTAAGTTTTGAACCATTACTCACCAACAAGGATTATGGTGGATCAATAAAATTCCTCTATCCTTACCCAGAGTTTGGTACAAGTTCAAGACCTATATATGAAAAAACCTATTAGGATCCCCTTAAATAATGACTTATGCGACGGGAGTCTGAATTAATCGGTTTTTGACGTAAGTATTTAATCAGGTGATTTTTTTTTTCATTTTACTTTATTTTGGAAAAAAGCTAATGTGGGATTGTTATGTTTGAAGATGCAGCAAAAAGATGAAGTTCCTTTTAACATTATCTTTGTTTGTTAGTCATATAAAAGATGTGTAGTAATCCCTAACTATTATCAAAATAGGACCACAGTGTGTATAGCTACATTTTGAACAAAAAAAAAAATTGCTTCTTCAGTTTCTAGTTCCAGATAATTGTAACTTATTTCAACCGATTCCTACTTTAGTATGACTTGTAAAATTGTCAACCTATTCCTACTTTAGTATAATTTGTAGAGTTGATGATTTTGTTGTGGTATCATTATCAACAGTGTCAAAGTTTGAATAGGTCTTTCTCTTGTATGGTTTCTATACATATCAAATTCTATATCTGGATCATCGTACGTTGTGGTCACACTTCCATGATTGAGAATTTAGTAGGTTCAGATACTCTTCTTGATATTATTAAGCCTTTTGTCTTGTTGCAGTTAGTCATTAAGGAGATATGGAAGAGAAGGATGATATAGCGAAGGATGTCACAGAAGTAGTTCCCTTGCTGATATTTTTCTTGGTACTTTTTACGTCGTCTTTTTTTAAGCATCAATGATCTCATTTTGTTGTCTTCACAATGTAGCTTATTGGGAACACCCCTATGGTATATCTCAACAAAATTGTCGAAGGTTGTGCTGCTCAAATCGCAGCCAAATTGGAGACAATGGAACCATGCGCGAGTGTCAAAGACAGGTGTTTATCCCTTAATCCCCTGATTCAGTTTCTTCTTGAGACTTATCTTTCTTCCTGTTTCTAGTGTGTACATCATTATTATCTAAATTTGGGAAAATCTTGAATTTATGGATTTTTTCACATCTGCTACTTATGATATGTAGGATTGCATATAGTATGATCAAAGATGCCGAAGATAAGGGCCTGATTACCCCTGGCAAGGTTGGTGAAGTTCATCTGCGAATCCGTATTAGGAGGAAAAAGTAGCAGCTTGAAGAGATGTTATATTATAATATTCCCAAGTACTGTTCATAAAATTTGATGTGATGATAAAATAAGCTTAACATAATTTTTCATGTATGCCCGTTTCTCTTAATATCAGTTTATTCAAAATTTCGTCCTTAGAGAGATGGAAACTTCTACTTTTAGTTCCTTATGCTCTGCATGATTATATGCCTGAAAGGCTGAACTGAAATGATATTTCCTTGTTTTTTCGAACTGTGGAAATAATGGCCGTTGAAGTCTGTCCTCCTTGAGGTAACCAGTGGTAATACTGGCATTGGTCTGGCATTTGTAGCTGCAGCTCGTGGCTACAAACTCGTGATAGTGATGCCATCATCGTATAGTCTTGAGAGAAGGATTGTTCTTAAAGCTTTGGGGGCTGAGTTATACATAACAGATCCAGCCAAAGGTTTAGATGGATTGCTTCAGAAGGCACAAGAGATTCTAGATAGGACGCCAAACAGTCATTTTTTTCGTCAGTTTGAGAATCCTGCCAATCCAAAGGTGCCTCCTTTACAAATAATTTGTTCATTTGCTATTAAAAAAAAAACATCATACTTATCAAGTATCAATTTACAGATTCACTATGAAACAACTGGACCAGAAATATGGAAGAGCACAGGAGGAAAAGTTGATATTTTCATTGCAGGGATTGGGACTGGAGGCACGGTGACGGGAGCAGGAAGGTTCCTTAAGGAGAAGAATCCAGAAATAAAGGTATATGGTGTAGAACCAGCTGAAAATGCGATTCTAAACGGAGGACAACTAGGTTAGTCAAGTTTCCATCTTTCTGTGTCTTCTCAGAATATCCAAATCAATATAGAAACTAATATGTCATTACATCATTTCTATACTCTCATTGAATTGAGAGGATTGCCAGCTCATTTCTCATTTTCATCTCTGCTTCAATCAACTATTATTTATCCTATACTGATATGTGTGTAATTAAATGTTAAAGGGCCACATAAAATCCAAGGAATTGGTGCTGGTTTCATCCCAGCCGTCCTCGATCAAAGCATCCTGGATGGAGTTCTTCAAGTAAGGCTGTATACCATATAAGTAGCTCTCAGATTCTACAAACATTTATTCCGCTCAATGTGAGTGAGATTTTGCTATAAAACCTTAATTTCTTACAAATGACTTTAACCAGGTGATGAATCTGCTATACTCTGACTGACAATTTCAATTTGGTTGATATAAAACTAACACATTCACGACTCACAGAAGCAGAGATATGAAGTAGGCGAACATAGACTAGATCGCTATGTAGGGTATGGTTAGATATATCCTTTTGTTGACAGAATTATCTGAATCTCCAGAATAATCGTGACTTTTCAATGTAAAAGTTTCCCGTTTACTCTTATCTCTGAAACATATCCATCTTATTTAGTTCATTAACAGATCAAAGTAAATTCATTGTAGGTTTTCTTATTATCCATGTTTGGCTGGTTGAAGTTTTTGGTGAACATTTTGTTTAGGAAAACAAGTTGCTTAAAAATAAGGAGAACGACTTTTCTAATGGAATTAGGGAAAACAAGTTTCACAAGCTGTATTCTACATTGAGTTTGTTCTGTCCTATCCACGCTCCAACACACCTCATCTTCACCCCTACCTCCATAACCCCCAGCCTCACCATCCATAGTATTGGACTTAGATTATATACAAGTGGTTTTAGGATAGTATTTTTTGCGTACATACCGAGCACAAGAAGATTAGTAAGAAACCACTTATTTTCCTTCCTTTATACCGAACACACCCTTAATGTCCTCTCATATGTTTCTAATGCTGTTGATTTTTTGGTTCACTTGCTATAATTTCCTGGTATGATGATAGCTTCTGTTTTCATTTATGTTCAGGTATCTAGTAATGAAGCTATTGAAATGACAAAGGTTCTTGCATTGAAAGAAGGCCTACTGGTAAGTTCACCTGTCGATAAAGATCACTTCTGTGTCCTCTGCTTCATTTGTAATGTCCGTTCTGATATCATCATTTTTCTCCTGGAAATATTTTCAGGTAGGAATATCATCAGGTGCTGCAGCTGCTGCAGCAGTACAAGTAGCAAAAAAGCCCGAAAATGCTGGGAAACTTATCGCGGTAAGTTAGATCTACTTCATTAAGCTTATTGATATCTATTTCATCTCTGAACTTGGGGAATCCTTGATGAGCTCATGGTTCTTCCAATTTTGCACAGTGACGGATCTAGGAATTTAAGGTTGTGGGTGCTCTAAAGTGAAAATATAAAAAATATGTGTTAACAAAGTACCTATTCAGGAGCCATGGGGCCAACTAAATCATTTATTCATTGGGTGCTCTATGTTAATTTTATATAAATACCTATCACTTTCTACATAGATATATATATTCCGTAACGAAGTTAATGGGTGGTCGAGCACCCGGCGGACACCATGTGGGTCCGCCTCTGATTTTGCAAATGAACTTTGGCCTAAAATTCTTTTTCAATTCTCTGTGCAGGTCATCTTCCCTAGTTTCGGGGAGCGTTATCTTTCCACTGTGCTGTTTGATTCTATTAGAGAAGAGGTGATGAACATGACTTTTGAGTAACTTTATGCTTCTTTAAACTGAGGGATACATGTTATTCCTATTTGTTGTAACTTGAGGAAAGATGCACTCAAGTGTAACATCCTAATAAATCAGTGAAATATTATTCGAAATACAAACATTTTTACCATTTGAATGGTGTAACCACTATTTTTATTTAGCCCTTCGTTCCGTCAACAAAGAAGTATTGATTTTTCAATGACATAGTTAATGGAGAAAGGCTTCCATCATGTAGCGTAAATTGTTCTTAAAAAAAGAAATATCACTTCTTTGTCAACTGGACTATTGCCTAACCATAATCTCTATATTAATTTCAGAATGGTTCACATATAAATATTACAATCTTTACGATTTTATAGTATTGTTTGCCAGCTGTATTATGAAAACAATGTTAATAAAAGACAACAACTAAACTAGAAGAAATTATATCACGATTCAGGATACTGTAGTCTGATGCCAGCAAATGTTCTTCCAAATTAAACGTACAAAATATATTTTAATCTTAGCTTACTGTAGTTTTACTTTAATTTCTTTTCCAATAATACATGCATATAAGAAAACGTCAAAATATTACGAGTTGAACTAAAAAAAGAAAAAAGAAGTTAACTTATATCTCTTGCATATATTGTATAAACTTTGTAATTCTTTTGGGTTGCTTTATAATTTTGTTTGTAAAGTACTTACTATTAGTAGTATTATTTTTTTACAAAAACTGATAGCTTTAATTAGTGTAACTCAAATGAACAAATTACTATAACACCCCTGGTACTTCAAATTTCATGCTAATTGTTCCTTATTCCATTTTTTTTTATAGTTTTCATATATATATATATATATATATATATATATATAATATATCTTATTCTCATTTCAAAATCTTGACCTTTCAAATTTCTCACACAAATTTTTAAAAAATACAAATGAATAATTATTCTTTAAAGACAAGAAATTAAAGTAGATTCATGTATCTTTTAAAGTTAAATTTCATCTCAATATTTTTTATATTTATTTTAATAGTATTTGATATTTAAATTTTCCATGTGTCTTTTCATGTTTCCATAATTTTTTTCTATAAATTTAACTTTTTCAAGAAAATTTTTTTATTTACTATTCCTACAATTCTTGTGTATAGGAACTCTAATATTTATTTCGCTCATTAAATTTTCTTTCTTTCATCTTCTCTTTTTACATTCTTCATTCATATTTTAATATATAAAATTTCTTTGTTATTATTGGTTGTTACATAGTTTAATCTTCTCAATGATATTTATTCTGATCAATCTTTAAACATTCGTTAAATACTCCATAAAGTGTATCATAAGGTGGGTTTGTCCAATTATTTCATTTGCCTTCTTTGGTTAGATTTCTTCTCCAAAAAGAGTCTACTTTCAGATAAATCTATTCCAATATAACTGATTTAGCTATAAATATTGATCAACACTTTCTGTTGATGCCTTTGCATATTTGAACTTTGAAATGTGGACATGGACTATGCTTGGAGCACACAGGTTCATAGTTGACTGTGTGTTCGTGTAGTTTAAAATGATATGAAATACATGTGCGTTGCACGTGTTCGAGAACTAGTAACATAAAAAAGAAGAGAAGTTATACTAATTGTTACTGATATCATGAATGCTGAGTAAATAAAAGTAAGAACGTCAACTCATTTGGCTAATTCATATTTTATCCATATTTTTATGGATCAAATATGAATATCAACCCATATTTTACACCATGTGAAAAATCACTCACCAAATTCATTAAAATATGAACGGATTGGACGAATCACCAAAATATGTGCTTATTTTACCGGCACTAAGACATATGGGTCCAGCTATTGTGGCAAAAACAAGAAGAAGAAAAGGAAAATGGACATCAAGGATATATATATATACACTGTGAAGATAAACATAAAGCTTGATCATTATATTTGGGGAAAGTAGAGAAAAATCAAGAGTTGGGCGATTGATTCGAATTTCACAAGATCCAGTTATCCGCATTCAACAACTACAAAAGTATAAACTACCACTAGCTCTATTTCAAAGAAGCTTAAGAATACTCTTAAAGTTTTTATTTGATAATGTTGGAGCATTAAGCTAATTTTGAAATAATATTAGAGTAGTTGGAGCTTGATATTGAGATTTAATGCCTAAAGAGGTGAGCTGATTACTTGCAATCGTTTAAGGTACAAGACTAAGTAATCTTCCTATACGAAGGGTCTATGTTTACTCGATATATATTTATGTATGTAATGTGTATGTAGAGGTCTATGTAAACCTCCAAGTAGAAGTAATAAGAAGTCTTAAATTTTCCACTAAATTTGACCTATGAATGTAATGATGTAAACTAACAGTCTTTGATTCTGTTAGGATGAACGCGTAGGTAATTTTATAAAATCCCCTCGATCTATTGTTAAGGCACACATGCCTATACTCTTTTTGCACTCAAATTAACTTGTCTCCACATTTCACACGTCTTTGTATTGATATCATAATAATCATATTGCGTCTTTAATTGAAATATCTAAAAATAAATAAAAAAATCACATGACATATTTGTCTAAAGTGTTGTAAATAGGAATAATATGGCACATATGACCTTCCGTAAGACCCTCATAGCGAGCCCACGGAGGGCATATCTTGTGTTAGATCGCGATTACGTTATGCGTATAAAATCATAGTCATGAGTGCATATTTGTATATGATAATTTGTTTAGAGATAGTCACAAGGCATCAATTAGGCAAATTACTAGGCTCTTCATAATAATGAATAACTCGTAGGACGTTATATGATGAAATAATAGGAAAATACATAAATTATTGTTTTCTATCGTGTAAACCACATGTTCATATGGTACTTATGGCCTTGTTCAAACTTAGGGCGTGACAGACTGTCAGTTTGCAGGATAGAAGAATTTGGATAATTATGATATTATCAATTTAAATAGGGGTAAATTCATCTTACAATGTAAAATAAGTGTCCCCTTTAACACATGTTAGTGAGCTACTTGATTTTCTCACCTTTTTTGTCAATTAGACTATCGCCTAACCTAATGTTTTAGAATGGTCCACATATAAGTACTACAATATCTACCTATTTATAACGCATTTGATTTCAATAGAAGTAAATGACATATGAGATTAGCTATGTTAGGACTAACTATATTGTTATTATTTTTTATTAAATGTTTGATTTGTTATATAAAAAAAAAACATGCATTAATATAATTTCTAGAATATATTGTTTGTTTACCAAAAAAAAATATATATTCTTCATAAGTGTATATGGAGTGAAAGTGATTATATAAAGAATTTGTATATAAAAATACATTCTACAATGTTTATGAATTTGAAAACTCCAAAAAAAACGTGTTTACAATTTTCACTTCGAATCATTCAGAAAATTAAAAAGCAAATTCAATTTATATTCATATCCTGACAAACTCTAATTTTTAGATATAATTTTTTATTTGAAAATAAAATAATAATAAATTATTATTTTTTTCAAAAAAAAAAGATCATAGTTATTATGTCCAAAGCTAGTGTCTGACTTGCTTCACCATGGAGCCAGCACTGCTTCTCACTTTAAGTCATTTCCGAGTCGAATAAATCTTAGTTGGTTGTGTTCGAAAATTAGGCTAATTTATTTTTGCTAACTTATAAATTTTTGGTGTTTCTTATTGTTGTATTATTTATTATTTTTTCCGTTCCTTTTTATTTATTAAATTTTAACTTGACAAACCTATTAAGAAAATAATTATTAATATAGTGAGTTTAATATTTTAACTTTATGAATTAATGGGGTCTCAAAAATATATTTAGTCACTGCATTTTATTTTTCAAAAGACATTAACCCACACAGGAATGTTAACGAATCTAGAGTATAATAGGAAAAAAGAAAATTATGCTTACTTAATTTGTCAAAAAATGACAAGTAAAAAAGAGAAATTAAATTATGAAATATTTGATAAGTAAATAAAAGCAATGGAGTAATTATTAGCCATCTCTCTTTATATATTAGGATCAGCTTTATTAGTGGTAGACTGATAGTTGACAGCTCCTTGAAAGTAATTTATGTTTAATATTACAGGCTGATTATGGTTGTAAGTTACATAGGTTCTATCTTCTTTCTATAATTAAATATGTTTAGCTTTTTTTTCTTGTTACAGTAAGTGAGCAAGGAAATATGGAAGAGAAGAGTCATGAGATTGCGAAAGATGTCACGGAAGTAGTTTCCTTTCTGAAATGAATTTTTTGGTACTCTTTACATCTTCCTTGTTTAGAATCAAATCATCATCGCGTTTTTGTTGTCTTCACGATGTAGCTTATTGGAAGCACCCCTATGGTATATCTCAACAAAATCGCGGAAGGTTGTGCTGCCCAAATTGCAGCCAAAATGGAGACAATGCAACCATGCTCAAGTATTAAAGATAGGTGTTTATCTTTCACTCTTCGCTCAATTTGCAAAATCTCGAATTATATTCTAACTTGCAATTCTTACTATGTAGGGTCGCATGGAATATGATCAAAGATGCAGAAGACAGGGGCATTATTAGACCTGGAAAGGTTAGTGAAAATTTGTATGAAAGGAACACAATTCTCTTGATAGTGATGTGAATTTATTATAATTTATCTGAAAGGCTGAACTGAAGTTATTTTTCTTGGTTTTCAAATGATGAAATAATACTGGTGGCGTAAGACTGTCCTTCTAGAGACATCCAGTGGAAATACCGGCATTGGTCTTGCGTCTATTGCAGCAGCTCGTGGGTATAAACTCGTGATAGTGATGTCAGGATCATCTAGTATTGAGAGAAGGATTGTTCTTAAAGCTTTTGGGGCTGAGTTATACATCACGGATCGTGACAAAGGCATACCTGAGGTGCTTAAGAAGGCCCAAGAGATAAAAGACACAACACCCAACTGTTATTTTCTTGGTCAGGACAAGAACCCTGCCAATCCAAAGGTGTCTATACAAATAACTCATGATTCATTTGTTATAGTTAAAAATATATAGTATTTATAAAGTATCCATTTTGTAGATCCATTATGATGCAACTGGACCTGAAATATGGAATTGTACGGGAGGAAAAGTTGACATTTTCATTGCTGGGATTGGGACTGGAGGCACGGTATCAGGAATTGGAAAGTTCCTCAAGGAGAAGAATCCAGAAATAAAGGTACGGTTATTTATCATTAGCGGTATTGCTCTTTCATTTTTGACTTGATTTGTGATTTTCTTTTCTTGTTTGGAAAATCAGGTATATGGTTTAGAACCAACTGAAAATGCATTTCTAAATGGAGGACAACTAGGTCAGACAACTAACATGTCATTGCATTAGTTCGAGTTTTTCAAGCTCAACTCTGTTTTCATCGCTACTCTTTGATCATTGTATGTTACCGTTACAGGGCCACATAAAATCCAAGGAATTGGTCCTGGTTTCATCCCACCTGTTCTCGATCTCAGCATCCTGGATGGAGTTCTTCAAGTAAGGCTGTATACCATATAAGTAGTTGTCAGATTATCTGTTCAGCGTGTATAACTTCTTTTTTTTATTAATGTTCAGGTATCTAGCGATGAAGCTATTGAAATGGCAAAGCTTCTTGCATTGAAAGAAGGTCTGCTGGTAAGTTCTTTTGAGTCCATGAATTGTCAGTCCTCAGCTTCAGTTTGTGATATTGTCCGTTCTGATATCACTACGATTATTCTCCTGGGATATTTTCAGGTAGGAATATCATCAGGGGCTGCAGCTGCTGCAGCAGTACAAGTAGCAAAAAAGCCCGAAAATGCTGGGAAACTTATTGTGGTAAGTTAAATCTACTTCATGAGTAACCTGATAACACCCTTTCTTTCTGTGTCTCCTTAAAAAAATTGAACAATGGCCTAAAATAATGTATGCAGATAATTATGGCTAGTTCTGGAGAGCGTTATCTTTCCACCGTGCTGTTTGATTCCATTCGAGAAGAGGTGGAAAACATGAAATTTTGAGGAACTTTGGAGTTACCTGAGCTAAAATAGTGAAGTCCTCCCAAGTTTAATCTCCTAAATAAACGAACTCTATTTATGACAATATATCCATTATTGAATTAATTCAAAATCTTTAACATTTTCATCATTCCATAGCTGTTATTTATCGCAATAGTATTCGTGAAAACCTAAATATTTGTATACATGATCAAATAATTAAAAAGATTGCAATTTGTATTACTTAAAATTTTATGAATGAGAAACAATTCTTAATTTTTTAAAGAAAATATATAAATTTATAAGAAAAAACTCTTCTACAAATGGAGGAAAAACTTTCTACTAAATTATGCTTTAAAATTTACAGGTGAGAAAAATATGATAACTTTATCAAATTGAAGTGACATAAATTAATATGAAACAAAAATATGACATGACCACGAAAGGCCGGGCAGCGGATAAAGTTGTATCTCCCTGAATCAGAGATCTTGATCCTTTTGAATGGTCCTTATTTTGTCCGAATTCAATTGTAATTAGGCTTCAATATAAGTGTTGTATATCGAATGAAAAACAAAATAAGGAAAAATGTGATATTCATGCTTCAATTGTTTAACGCGAAGCATATAATGGCAAAATAGTATACTTTTTGTTTCAATTTATTTGTGTGGTTTTGATTTAATATAAAAAATAAAAAGAATTACAATTTGCATTAGTTTAATTATTACGAATGTAATTCTTAAATTTTTGAAGAAAATAAATAATTTATATTAAAAAAAATTACTCTTCTATAACTGAATTAAGAAAGTTTTATTAAATGATGCTTTAAAAACTAATGGTGAAAAAACATGACTATTTTATCAAATTTGTTAATAACAATATGATTTGATTATGATATAAATTAATAATATGTAGCAAAAAATATGGCACGTGTGCTGAACAAAGCACCACAACCATCAAAAGGGTAAAATAGTACTCACATTGTTTCAATTTGTTTGTCTGATTTTGATTTGGCACAAATTTTAATAAAATAAAAAATGTTTTTGAACTTTGACATCTTGAATTAATCAAAAGATATTTCAATTTCATGATCTTAAACGTGTTAATAAAAAAAATATTTTCTTTTTTTATTAGGACTTTTAATTCTTTCTTAGTGAACTCCATACATTTATGATCATCCCAAAGAGACCATCCTTTCCTATTTAAGTAAAAACAGTTACTAGATGATGTCTGTTCATTTGTGGCAGTTCACAACTCCTTGAGTAATTGTTGCGGAATGGTGGTCTTCAGCTTATATGGACTTGGGCAATCGTCCCTAAAGAACTAGCTTTTGGAATTGAATTAGGCCAGTGCCGTAATTTTACATTCCAAAGAGTGTCAAAGATTGAGCAAGTTTATTCTTGTATGGTTGTTATATATAATGCATTTGGCTCATCGTATATACATTTTGGTTTCACTTCCATGAGAATGTTACATAGGTTATATCTTCTTCATATTATTAACTACGCGTAGCTCTTGTTTCTCATTGCAGTAAGTCAGCAACACAATATGGAAGAGAAGAGGAAGATCGCGAAAGATGTTATGGAAGTAGTTTCCTTTCTTGGTACTATTTTCATCTTCCTTGTTTAGAATCAAATCATCATCACGTTTTGTTGTCTTAACGATGCAGCTTATAGGAAGCACCCCTATGGTATATCTCAACAAAATCGCGGAAGGTTGTGCTGCCCAAATTGCAGCCAAAATGGAGACAATGCAACCATGCTCAAGTATTAAAGATAGGTATTTATCTTTCACTCCTCTCATTCACTTTCTTATTTCTAACTTCTAATTCTTGATATGTAGGGTCGCATGGAGTATGATCAAAGATGCAGAAGACAGGGGCCTGATTACGCCTGGAAAGGTTAGTTAAGTTTGTTTTAGAATAAATATGAGGAGGTAAAAGGAACACATTATGTAACTCGGAGTACTAAGTCGTCTATGATCATTTATCTGAAAGGCTTTAATTGAAACTATTTTTTTGGTTTTCAAAATGTTGAAATAATGATGGCTGAAGACCGTCCTCATTGAGATATCTAGTGGAAATACTGGCATTGGTCTTGCGTCTATTGCAGCAGCTCGTGGGTATAAACTTGTGATAGTGATGGGAGCAAAATATAGTATTGAAAGAAGGATTGTTCTTAAAGCTTTGGGGGCTGAATTATACATCACGGATCCTGCCAAAGGTACAGATGGTGTGCTTCAAAAGGCCCAAGAGATAATAGATACGACACCCAACTCTTATGTTCTTCATCAGAGCGAAAACCCTGCCAATCCAAAGGCAGTTTACAAAACTTAATGTACGATATTGCCGCTAAAAGTTATTTTTACAGTAGTAGTAGTAGTGTGTGTTCCATTTGTGATGTGCATTCTGATATCATCACGACATGTATAGTTCCTTTTTCTTTTGGAATATATTCAGGTAGGAATATCATCAGGGGCTGCAGCTGCTGCAGCAGTAAAAGTAGCAAAAAGGCCAGAAAATGCTGGTAAACTTATTGTGGTAAAACATTTGAACAATGGCCTAAAATAATGTATGCAGATAATTATGGCTAGTTCTGGAGAGCGTTATCTTTCCACCGTGCTGTTTGATTCCATTCGAGAAGAGGTGGAAAACATGATTTTTGAGTAACTTTATGCTTCTTTGAATTGAGAGATAGGGTATTCAAGGAAGTGGTAGCTATGTTGCAAGTTAACTTGAGCTAAAATAGTTAAAACAACTGAATTGTAACCTCCAAAATTGGTTAATGAATACAAATATTCTTTACCATTTGAATAATATAAAGAAAAATTATTTGATTCTTTGTGCTATATAGTAGTACTGTTGCTTTGGATGAGCCTTGCAGCAACACCACCACCAGCAACATTAGTAGTATTATTAGTCACAAAATCCATTGCAAAATTCGTAATATTAGCTCATCCCAGTACATTTAAAATATTTAAGTCTATTGTAAAATAAAAAAAAAATTATTGTGTAAAAATGAAAAATAAAATTCTCATTCTTAAAATAACATAATTCTTATTCTTCTTTCTTACATAATGAATTCTTTTATTTTAATTTAGGTTTTATACACGAAATATTTGTGTTTTCATTTGTAATATTAAAAAAAATCTTTATTTTATTTTACGTTTTATACACGATTCTTTTATGTTTTCATGTGAAATATTTTTAAAATTTATTTGGATTGATCATTTTAATTATTTCAATATTAAATATTTTCTCTGATTTGATCTTTTTATAAATAGTAATAATAATAAAAAAATCTTTGATTTTATTCAATGAGGATCCTTAAATGACCCTAGGAAGTTTTCTACGTACATACTTCCTTCTACATTGTTTCATGTTCTTCTGTATTGCAATTTTCTTTACTAGTTTTCTTTTTTTTCTCATTTGATGTTTGATATTCGTATTAGAATTTGATTTTTTCAAATTTACTAATTATTATCTCTGTGATAAGAAAATTAAACGCATAGATAATTTATCACTATATGTTATTTATTAAAAATTAAATTAAAAAATCATGAAACAATGATTTTCCCTTTTAACATCATGATTTTAATAAAAGCACAAAATAGAGTTTATTGTATAAAAATAAATAACAAATTTTTTATTTTATTATTTTAAGAATAAGAATTTAAATCTTTATTTTTACACAATAAATTCTTTATTTTATTTTTATTTAGACTTGGTATTAAGAATTTGAATAAAAACTGTCTTTACAAATAAATAAATTAGTACAATAAGCATTAACAAATTATTTTACTACCATCATCGATAAGGACTTACAATTAAAAAGGGAGAGGAAATCGCTCGATTACGAGGGACTACTTGCCAAAAAGAAAAAACAAAGAAGACATTCAGACGGCCGTGTGTTGTAGCGATTCGTTTGATAGTTTGTTTGATTAATTTCTATGCGCATTTTAGTTAAAATAAGGGTTTTTTATTATTATTTTAGCTCATTTTAATTTATTTATCTAATTTTGACTTGATACAGAATTTAAAAAAATAAACGAGTTTTTTAAATTTTGAGATCATAAATTTAAAACATATCAAAAAAGATATTTCAATTTTAGGACATTCCTTTTTTTAAAAAAAAAAGTAACTCCATGATTTAGTCAACAACAGCAATAACCCACTTATGATCATCTCAAAATGACTATCCTTTAAAATTTAAAGTACAAGCACTTACCAAATGATGTCTGTTCATTTTTGGCAATACAGCTCCTAAAGTAATTTTAGTAGACTGATAGTACTTAGGCAATCGCCCTTGGAGATTTAGCTTCTTAGTTGAGTTAGGCCTAGTGTCATATATTAAACATTTCTGAGAGAGTGTCGAAGATCGAGCAAGTTTTTTCTTGATTCTCGTTATTGGAGCAAGTCATTATGGAAGAAAAGAGGGAGATCGCAAAAGATGTCACGGAAGTAGTTTCCTTTCTGAAGATCTTTCTTTGGTACTCTTTGCATTCATCTTTTATTCATCTCATTTTGTTGTCTTCACAATGTAGCTTATTGGAAGCACTCCTATGGTATATCTCAACAAAATCGCGGAAGGTTGTGCCGCCAAAATTGCAGCTAAATTGGAGATAATGCAACCATGCTCAAGTATCAAAGATAGGTGTTTATCTTTCACTCCCCTCATCCAGTTTCTTCGCTCAATTTGCAAAATCTCGAATTATATTCTAACTTGCAATTCTTAATATGTAGGGTTGCATTGAGTATGATCGAAGATGCAGAAAACAGGGGCCTGATTACTCCTGGAAAGGTTAGTGAAGTTTGTGTGAGGATAAATATCAGGAGGAAAAAGGAACATATTGAAGAGATATATTACTATGTGATTGTCAATGTCTTACATTGATTAAGGAATAGACCTGTGGTTTGCTTATATGAATTTGAGCGATCTTCCCTCATGAGTTAGCTTTAGGAAGGTTGAGTGAGGCCCAAATACTGTATCTTTATAATCACAAACTTTGGTGCGTTCTTAAAATGGGGTTAAATAGACTTTCCATGTGTATGCTCATTTCTCTGGATAGTAATGTGTATTCTCACTTGATAGAGGTGGAAATTTGACATGTATTTTCCCTGTGGTCTGTAATCATTTGTCTCGAATGCTTAACTGAATTATTTTCTTGGTTTCAAATGTTGAAATAATGGTGGCTGAAGACGGTCCTCATTGAGATATCCAGTGGAAATACCGGCATTGGTCTTGCCTCTATTGCAGCAGCTCGTGGCTATAAACTTGTCATAATGATGGGAGCCGAATTTAGTATTGAGAGAAAGATAGTTCTTAAAGCTTTGGGGGCTGAGGTTTACATCACAGATCCTGACAAAGGTATAGAAGGTGCAATTCAGAAGGCCCAAGAGATATTAGATAGGACGCCAAACAGTCATTTTCTTCGTCAAGACAAGAACCCTGCCAATCCAAAGGTGACTTTACAAATAACTCATTCATTTGTTATATAAAAATCACACTTATAAAGTATCCATGTGTAGATCCATTATGAAGCAACTGGACCTGAAATATGGAATTGTACGGGAGGAAAAGTTGACATTTTTATTGCTGGGATTGGGACTGGAGGCACAGTGACAGGAGCTGGAAAGTTTCTCAAGGAAAAGAATCCAGAAATAAAGGTCAGGTTATTTGTGAGTGATAAGTGGTATTGTTCTTATTTCTTTTTGTCTTGATTTCTTATTCCTTTGTCTTGTGGAAAAATCAGGTATATGGTATAGAACCAGCCGAAAATGCATTGCTAAATGGAGGGCAACTAGGTCGGTCAAGTTTTTCCTCCCTTCGAGCTGTCCTATCAATAGAGTTTTTCCAGATTATCTCGCATACTGTGTTTTCTTCACTACTTTCTGTGAATTAATTTTATCATAGACTGATATATGTAATTAAATGTTACCGTTAAAGGGCCACATAAAATCCAAGGAATTGGTTCTAGTTTAATCCCACCTGTTCTCGATCTCAGCATCCTGGATGAAGTTCTTCAAGTAAGGCTGTATTACTTGTCAGATTATAAACATTTAAGTCTTTGTTCAGTGTGTATAAGTCTTTCCTGGTATGCTATCAGCTTCTGTTTTTATCTATGTTCAGGTATCTAGTGATGAAGCTATTGAAATGACAAAACTTCTTGCATTGAAAGAAGGCCTGCTGGTAAGATCACCTTTGAGCCCACAGATTGTCTGTCTACCTCTTCATTTGTGATGTGTGTTCTTATTATGTCGTCATGGCTATACTTCCTTTGGAATATATTCAGGTGGGTATATCTTCAGGGGCTGCAGCTGCAGCTGCAGTAAAAGTGGCAAAAAGACCAGAAAATGCAGGGAAACTTATTGTGGTAAGTTAGAATATCTATTCAGTAAGCTGATAACACTCTTTCTCTTATGTCTCCTTAAAACATTTGAACACTGGAACTACAATTCTCTGTTATGATTCTCTATGCAGATTATATTCGCTAGTTCTGGAGAGCGTTATCTTTCCACCGTGCTGTTTGATTCCATTAGAGAAGAGGTGGAAAACATGACTTTTGAGTAACTTTATGCTTCTTTGGATTGAGAGATAGGGTATTTAAGGAAGTGCTAGCTATGTTGTAAGTTAACTTGAGCTAAAATAGTAAAAACAACTGAATTGTAAGCTCCTAAATTGGTTAACGAATACAAATATTCTTACCATTTGAATGATATAAAGAAAAGTTATTTTCCAATGGCATGTTTCTGGAGAAAGACATCCATCAGCAAACAAGCAGGCATTTACTTTTCCTTTACTGATACTTCATGACTTTTAAATGTCAAACCAGCAACTGTACTATTCATATTATTCTTTTTCTCGCTTGCACATATAATTGGACTCTTAAGAAACTGGAGGTATGTAGAGAGGAAATGAGAGAGACTAATGAGAAGTTTCACCATTTTGCAAGTCATTCCGAAGATATACTGCAAATGCTTGGAACTAGATTGAAGCAAATTCAAGAAATTACTCATGTACAATATGTAAAGCATACATTTTGTCATCTTAATGGAACAGCATCTCTAACTTCTTGAATATGCACAAGAGTCAGTAATGAAAAGGTACATATTCTTGCAATACTCTTGAACCCTTGCATACAGCTGGGAAGTGAAAAGAAACTCACTACACAGGTTCTGAGTATTATTCACTACAGATAACTACTCCAATCAAGCTAAGCCTCAATAGTTAAGGCTGGTAACAATCCCTCGCTCAAAAGATACTATGGGGAAGGACAAAAAATTGTGTTAATGTCTTCAAAAGATAAAAAGAAAAACAAGAAAAGAAAGATTTAAAGACGCGGAACTGAGAGACAGACAGGTTTGAAGGATTAGATATAACAGTAGTTTACTCTCATCCTAGTTTAGTTTTTGTTTGAGAATGTTATCGTCATTCTTTGTGCTTGAAGTAGTGTTAGTTTGGTTGAGCCTTGCAGCAGCAGCAATAGAAGCAGCAACACCACCAGGACGGGTGCACAAGTTTGGATCATTCCTCAGTTCTGCACCAATCACTCCCTCTGCATCTTTACGTGTCACTGGCTTATCTGACGGTAACTTTGAACTTGCTTCCTGCCAAACACCAATGTGATGTCTCAGCTATACATTCATTGTACACCTGACAGTTATAAGGTTGTTATCTTACCGCGAGTATTTCAGCCAGTTTAGTTTTTTCCTCCTCTTTGGTAAGTCTAGCATTTCGAGTAGCTGCTGATTGAGCAGCAGCAGCAACTCCACCAGGGATGATGTTGGTACGTCCAGTGGCTCTCACTTCTGCTGCCTGTATGGCTGCCGCGTCACTGTAATCAACCGGCCTGCTTCCAGCTGTCACAACAGTGGCTTCAAGGGCTTCACCAATGGTAATGTTTGCTCTTCCTGACACTGATTCTGAGCTTACTTGTTTTCTGTCTTTTCCATGTACCTTCAAGTACACAATAGTAAGAAAAATCTTTATAAGAATTGTAACGCAAATAAATTTATTAGATGAAATACGGAATCATTAGATACCAATCTCAATGTATATAGATTTGTTAGCTGAATACAGATCAAATGGATCACAATTACGATTTAAATTAATAGATACAATTTAGATAATTGATTCGGGACCAATGTATGCCTACGTATTAAAAAGATACTAATGCAAGCAAATGTATGTTAATTTATCAAAAGAATATGGATCAATCGAATTTATTAATTTCGCATAAAATATCACCTAAAGAGCACGAAGAAGAATTCCTTTCAATCAACATTTGACTAGCTAGCAACCCGAAAAGTTATAGCTATTTACAAATTTATTTTTCGTTTAACCTCTGTTTCACTGGATATCTAAAAATATCAAAAGATATTTATAGAATCATTTTATAATCGTTCAATTCAAATAAGTATTATGTTTACTCATTTTCTCTAATAAACAAATGTTTAAGCACACGTTTTACAAAATGACACATATGAGAAATTATATATATATATATATATATATATATATATATATATTATTAAAATGAGAATATTTTAAGTTAAAAATTGTATTACGAAAATATTCTTTATCTACTAATTTATTTTCTGAAAATCATTTTTAAAATTAATTTTTCATTTAAAATCAACTTCATAATTACAACTCTTTCATTTTCATTGCTTATATTCATAATATTCATTAATCTTGTGTCTTTAACTCACATATTATCATCTTAAATATTATTTCTTTTGTTTTTAGCTTCCAATTAGTTAAAAAGAACTTTTCATATTCTTTTTACCTTTTTCTATAAAATCAATAGTTTTAGCCTTTGGGTCATTGTTATATTATTATATGTTTTCTTTTTTATAATACTCAATATTTGGTGTATTCTTCGCACTTTCTACAACAGAGATATATTCTTTTTTTATATTAGTTTCATCTTTGTTTTGCTCTTAATAATTTTTGTTCTTTCTTGTTTTTTCAATCTTCATTGCTTGGTCATTTTCTGGAATCCTTGCATCAACTCAATTTCTTCATTCCCTTCTTTATTATTTTTTTTTAAAAAAATTATACTAATTAACTTATAGAATATACGTGCAACACTCGTGTTAGAAAGAAAAAAAGAATTAAGTTTAGAACCTGTCCACCAATAGATTCAGCAACAGCTTTCTTTCTAGCAAGTGATGATTCTTGAACATCTTTAATGGACTTATGCTCTTGCTCAGCTTCTTCCCTCCTTGGTTGTTCTTGGCTCATTTTTAATATCTCAAAAAATTCAACTATAGAAATTAATTTTTATCTAATAAAAAGGAAATTAAAAGTAATAGTTACATTCTCCCTCTTGTATATGGTGTTATAAGTTTGTATGGAGAAAATAGTGTCCACTTTCCATGCATAATAAGTGTCTATAAAAGAGGAAACTTTGAAAGCTAAACACGTGTTTGGAATATATTTAGTTTGAAATACATAGATACTATTTTCGTGGATGTTCAAAGGCCTCAAATTATTGGAAACTATTCTTAATTTTGTGACTTTTTCTTTTAAATATTTCATATAAATCATGTGTTTTGATTATAAACAAATAGGTCATCAATTACAATTAAAAGAAATAAATCTGTTTAAAAAAAGTCAAATTTCATAGAGAAATGAAATTATGTCATATACTAATAGAATAAGTGATAACTGACATTTTCAATAAAGGCCAAAGAAATTTTAAAATTATCATTCAACTCTTAGAATATGGATTAAATTTTTATTTTGAGTCAAAAGTCTATCATATATACTCATTGTCAAAATAGGTTATAACGATTCAATCTTAGTCAAAGACAATTTTTCATATTATATTTTACTTTTTTATAATATCATTGTATCTTCATATAAGTGACGTTCATTATGCGGCATTCTTCTTTCTTTTTTTAAAAAAAATTAACTCCCATAAATTAATTTTATTATTATATTTCAATTCTCTATAATAACATTGTCCTTATAATGCAAGTGATATTTATTTTTAAAAAACTAAATCACCTACCCCTTTTTAACGGTTACACTCAAATATTATGTAATAATATTATATAAGAAATATATATATCAAGGGTGCAAAACGTTGTCACTCCTCAACATTCAACAATAATCAAATTCCCTTTTATCCTAATTAAATCTTTAAAATGTCTATTATGTTCATGATATTTTAAGTGATTATTTAAAAGAAACAAATTATATTTAAATTGTGTCTATCAATTATAGTCATAATTTCACGAATTAACAAATAAAGTTCATAATTTTGATCCACAAATTCATTAATCTATCTATTTTTTTTACAGATTTGTTTATAACAATTGAATGTGTTTTAAATTCAAATATTATTATACATGTATAACAACAGTACTGCATTATAACAATCATAAAATTTTCAGACAATCGTTGTCATCCTAATAATTTCTTACTGTAATTAAAATTGCTTATAAAATCTTTGAGTTAAACATTTTCCTGTGAATATCTTTTGATTAATTTGTTTAATATTCTCTCCATTTCAAAATAAATGAATTATTGAAAGTCTTTCACACCTTTAAGAAAAAAATATTAAGATATTAATTAGAATTTCTAACCTTTTTGTTATTGTTAAGTCTCTCCTTAGAATAACTAAACATTAATCATGATAACTACTTTAAATTCTAACTACGCAATCAAAGTTTATTCACTCATCACATGGAAAATTTAAATGAAGGATAAAAATAAAAGAAAATTTAAAATATATTTTTGAAGATCACACAATTAAGTTAATTTGAACTATGAAAAATATTTTAACAATACACTTATCTTGATACAAATGGAACAATGTTCAGTAAAGAGATCATTAATACTTAATTCATATTTAAAGGAATTTTGATGTCAAATTTAGAAACCAAAGATATTAGAAATATTTGGTAATAATGTTTGAATGTAAAAGGACTATATTGTTAGTTAACTTTTGAGGTAAAATTGTAAATTAAACTTTTTGAGATAGGGAGTTTCCATATTTAGTATATGTACGTATAAAATATAGTAATATAATTTTTTCCTAATCCTAGTAAGTAAAGAACTTTGTGTTATATAAACTCGTATTCCTCATACTGCTTAATTCATCGTTCCAATATTTTCTCTCTACAATTTTATTGATTACTATACATAATTTAGTGTTATCAATCATGAGTTCGTTTGATTATTTGTTAAATCAGATAACAAGGGAATTCATTGATCAACATCAACCTCAACCAAATAATCAATACTTATTAGATCACAATTCAACTCTTATGGGTCTGGATCGTCATATATATAATCAACAGAGTTCCTTTGATCAATTAACAACTGAATTCATTGATGATGTCACAATGGAAAGTGAATCCGATGATGATATGACAACTGAAAGTGAATCCGATGATAATATTGATATTGATGACATGATTTATTTGATACGTTTATTGGAAGATATTGTGCTCTACGTGGAAGGCAATGAGGACGAGGACGAGGACGAGAACGAGGAGGAGGTTACAGAGGAGATTATAGGAAATATGATAAAAACAAGAATTCATCGTGATACTGACGATGGAGAAGAAATAATATGTGTTATTTGCCAATGTGAATATGAGAATGATGAGACAATTGGCACTCTTGAATGTCAACACGAATATCACGAAAGCTGTATAAAGGAGTGGCTGGTGAAGGGAAAGAGATCTTGTCCAATTTGTAGGTCTTCAGTTTTACCGTCATAGGAATAAATATATTATTAAACTTACAATATTATCACTTATATTTTTAATTTATATTCATGATCGAAAATACATGCAAGTAGGTTTAAAACGTATCAAGATCTAATTAATCTTAGTTTGCCTATGATTGTATGATGTGTCCTTTATTTCATACTAATTTTATATATTTACATAGCTGATTTTCTTGAGTTAAAACTAAGTCAAAATCTCATTCGATTAAGTAACTTCAATTTGCAGACATAAGAAAATAAAACAAGACTTTTCTTTATTAGTATTTGACAACTCGACTCTTTTCAAAGCATATTTTTTAAGCCTCACATGACACAAATTTATATTAGTCACACTTGTTGCTAAAAATAACCATATGAATCATTACTGATCAAGTTTATTTAATTGATTATTTTAATTATATTAAAATCATAATAATTTAATTATATCAAGATTTATTGATTTTTTATGTACTTGTTAATAAATAAGTTAGAAAAAAAAAGTTTTGAGAAAATTGCAAAATAGCGGAACATGAAACGATGTAGAAGGAAGTACGTACCTCTAATAAGTAGAAAACTTCCTATGCTCATTTAAGGATGCTCATTGAATAAAATCAAATTATTATTATTATTATTATTGTCATTTTCATTATTTATCAAAAATTAAAAAGAAATATTTAATATAATTTAACATACATAATTAAGATAATCAATCCAAATAAATTTATAAAAAAATATTTCATAAATGAAAACATAAAATAATAGCGTATAGAAACGTGAAATAAAATAAAGAATTTATTATGTAAAAATGAAGAATAAGAATTGTGTTATTTTAAAAATAAGAATTTTAGTTTTTATTGTTACACAATAATTATTATTTTTTAGAATATTGCGTTAGACGTAAATATTTATACTTAAAAGTTCAAAATTGAGATGAGCTACTATTAACACTTTGAATTATTTTTTAAAAAATATCTTACAAAACCAATAAAAGAATAGACTAGTTAGTAAAAGAATTCAATTCAATTTAATTTGGGTTGAGAGAACTTCAAAGCCCAAAGATGGAAGGGGAGAGGGGTTTTTTTTAAACAAAAACAAAGGTAGAGAGTATTTTTAAGCGCAAATGTATAAAATAGCAAATGATTAATTCAAATTAAATGTTATAAGTATAATTTTATTTAATTTCAATGTGTAGTAAACACTTTGTCATTCATCTCTTTTTCCAAAAATCTTGTTTGTCATTCTCTCTCGCCTCTCTCACTTTATACAAACACAAATGTATAAATTGTATTTATATTTGTATAAAGAGCGAGAAAATTCTATATACAAATATAAATACATGTATATTTGTCATGTACACTTATAATCATAAAATACAATTCTTCATCTATCCAATTCTCTTTTATCTTTTTTTCTTTCTCGTTTTATACAAATATAAATTATACAAATACAATGTATAACTTGTGTTTCTTTAAAATGAAAAAGAGATTTGTGTAGAAATTTATCTTTATACAAAATTACAGTTACATATTCATGTACAAAATTTATATTTGAATACATCTAATAGGCATATACATATACGACTAAAAATCATATTAGAAAACATATACTTATACAACTTACGACTTACAATTGTATGCAAAAATGCAGTTGCTACATATACATATTTATATTTAGATGCATATAATAAACAAATAAAATCACAACAAAAAACACAGTGACACGACGTACAGCCAAGTAAGTTTTTTATTTTGTATACAGATTCCAAGTATATACTTATGCAATTGATTTTTATGTTTGAGTATACCAAAATATACATATTAATAGTCATAGCAAACATAAAATTTGTTATGGATCACAATTATGCAAGCTACAGTTATAACATACAAATATATTTTTACGTTTGCTAAATTTAAAATTTGAAATTGTATGAAATAGCAAATCATTAATTCATATTAAATGTTATAGTCATAGTTTATTTTGATTGTAATTCGTAGCAAACATTTCAATTTTTTTGTCACCTGATTCGGTATACAATTAGCCAATTTATATATTTCGGTATAAAATGTGTGTTGTGTTTGTATAAAACGAGAGAATAGTGTATATACATATACAAATACATATATTTTCGTCTGATACACTTATAATTATATAAATACAGATCTTATTAAATAATTAACAATGTATAAATAAACTATACCAAATTGAACAATTTGTATAAAATTTGATTTTTCTAGCGAACTATACAAATTAAAAGTTTCATAACAAACATAAAATTTGTTATGTAGCACAATTATATAGGCTATAATTATCACATACAAATATAACTTTTATATTTGTTATGCGTGAAAGTTACTTTTATGAGCTAAAGTAGGCATCTACAGTTAAAGCTACTTTTTATGAATTACTTTTTTAATTCACTATTGTTACAAAATTTATTCAATTTACAAATTATAAGATGCTCTTTCGTTTGCATCATGTTTAGTTTTTTTTCTAATTTAACTTTAATATGTGTGTGATGCATCTTTAATTCATGTTTAATTTATTTTATAATTTATTATGTCTCTCATTTCGTTATGATTATATTACTTATTTATCGAGTTATTAACTTTTCCAAATATTACTCAAAAACAATATTATTGTTACATCTCCAACCAAATTGAGGTTGATTACATGTATCGTTACTGACCATGTCATCACAGTATTTAAGTTCACCTCACCCATATATTATCCAACAAAGTTATGATACGTCTTTACTTATTTTAAGCATGATAAGGTCAAACTATGTTATGTCATCCTTTTGGAGTCCGCACAAATTGGTTCTTAGCATGAAATTGATGTCAATTATCCTACTTTCCTTTTCCTTATAAACTACATTATGCATCACAATTTTTGTTAATATTCCACCATATCTGGTAATATTTAATCATCAAGGTTAAAGAGAAACAAAAATAAAGATATTAACGGTTTACTATAACTTATTTTACTTAGTTGCTTCTCTTTCTTTTGAAAGATCGAAAAAAGCTCATAGTCTATGTTGGTTTGAAAGTAATCATAACCTCATGCGAAAGCTTCTAATTGCAAATCATAACGGTGATAAATTAGATGACAAATAAAACTATACTAATATGCATAATATTATTATATGATTTGGTCATTTGACCTACATATAAAGTTAAAAAATAATATAAAGAGAAATTTTCCTACATTGTAAATGTTATTATCTTTTTGATATGAAAAAAGTGATTTTTAACGAATATAATTTAAATATTTTCATGTAACAAAAAAACTAAATATGAAAGATAAATATCTTTTTTTTTTCAATAAAAACAATTATGATAAAATTTTGATTTTCTTCAAGAAAGAATAAATAAAACTCAAACATGATTAAAAAAATCAGACAAAACCCTAAGAAATTTAATAATACGTTTTTGGATTTAATCGGAATTTGCCCTCCATTTGTGTATGTTTACAATGGCGGGAACTTTTGGCGCTATTCTGCATTTTCTGGTTGTATATTACCTCCACATCAATATTTATCCGCAAACTTGAAACCCTTGTTACGCCGCTCTTACAATTTCTCCTTCCGAAGCTTCTCTACTTCAAAAAAAAATGGCTGCAAATGGCATAGCTTCCTCTGCTCTCTTCTTCCGCGTCAAAAAGCTCTCTGATAACGCTGTTCTGCCCTCCAGAGGCTCTCCTCTCTCTGCTGGTTATGATCTATCCAGGTTTCCCCTTTTTCTTTTTTTGATGTATTTAGACTTCACAAAATTGATGTTTTCCCAAAAAAATTTGTATGTGTTTGATTAATTCAACCTTTTGGGATCTGATTTATTTCTTCTGTTTTTGTTGCAGTGCAACAGAGATGAAAGTGCCTGCCAGGGGAAAGGCTCTAGTACCTACAGATCTTAGTATTGCCGTTCCTGAAGGAACATATGCCCGTATAGGTATATTCTTGCCCCTTTTTTCACTATGATTGGTACAATTTGACGAAAAATGATGAGATAGTATAGTATCGAACTAATTGCCCGGCTTTTAACACCTCGTCTCAACCCTAAAGTTGCGAATTTGAGTCACACCTAAGCGAACTCCTGACTCTCGTTGTATTCAACCTCCCACACCTTATCACTAGACCATTTGTGCCTGTTTGAACAATTTTAGTCGAATAAATTTGTGATAGTTGGATATTTGAAATTTAATTGTGAATATTAGGGGCTAATTCGATGGTGATATGTTTTAATTTTTATAGCTCCAAGATCAGGATTGACCTGGAAGCATTCTATAGACGTTGGGGCAGGTGTGATAGATGCGGACTACAGGGGACCCGTTGGAGTAATACTTTTCAACCATTGTGATGTTGATTTTGAAGTTAAAATTGGTGACAGAATAGCTCAATTGATCATTGAGAAAATCATCGTGCCAGAAGTTGAGGAGGTTGATGATCTAGACCCGTTGGAGTAATACTTTTCAACCATTGTGCTTGCTTTATGCTTTGCCAATGTTGATCTGTGCTTTATGTTCTCCTACGAGTTTAGGTTTTCTTTTGTCCAATGGGAGGGAAATTTCTTAAGATAAAATGATATTGGCGAAATTTTGTTTAGAAGACACTTTTTAAGTTTTTGATGAATTAGATCCAAATATTTCAGTAAAAAACACTTATTAGGACATGTTTCATTGTATTTAGAGTTTTTACTTTATCAACTAATATTTCTATGAAATGTGACGTTGAATGATCAACAAAATTTCTCCCAACACTAGCAGGATCAATATTGAATTTAGAAAAATTGGAATATGATAAAAGAATGTGATTTGAGCTCATAAGTCATAACTTAATGATATTTTGTAAATAAAGTATGTTAGGAAACAATTTCGTCACTTTTATAAAATAATGATAAGATTTGTGTACGTTTTATTTTTTTTTTACTTCAGTTTTGGATTTTAGTGGACATATTGTTGTTGGTTTCTTACTAATCCAATTTCTCTACACTTCAAATTCTGTACTTTTATAGGTTTTATATACATGGTTACCTCTTTGGTTAATGGTATGATCCTATTAAGTAAATTGTAAATACATAACAGAGAAACAAAGTTCCTCATCTACACGAGTGACTATTATTACTTTGACATTATTTAGAAATCATTAGTCGATAAATGACTTGCCTAATATGGCGGCGGAGCAAAGTTTCCTCAACAATATTGTTCGCTTGATATTCAATAATAAATCATTAGTTCATCTCTATTGAGTTGTAGTGTTTCCTTTAATTCAATTGATTTATATAATACATAATCAACAACATCAAAGTTAAACACCGTATGCTTGTTAAATTTTCGTAGGTTGATTGAAAATATTAAAAAAAAATTACAGTATTTTATATAGTCGATTTAATTTATTTGAAATTGCATGATAGTTGTAAGTTTAAAAGGAGGGAGTATGAGACGAAATGTTTTAGTACATAGATGTAAGTTTCGAGACATGAAGCCTAAGTCTCATAGATCTATGGAGCATAATTTCATAATCTTATCACTAATAAAATTAGGAAAATTAAAACTTTAATATTTTACGAAATAAATTTAATAAATAACCCATGAAAATAGAATAAGAATATTATGATTTTTATTTGAAAAAGGTATTAGTAATCTATAATGAAAAAAAGTATTACAATTAGTATTTAAATAATAATAATAATAAAAATAATATGATTTAAAGCAAAAAAAAGAAAATTTAAAAATAAAAATTAAACAAATGCCTTGGACATACTCTTTTACGTCTAGTCTAGTGCTTATACTCGCTCCATTTCAAAAAGAATGTCATAGTTTGACTTGAAACGGAGTTTTAAAAAAAAAGAAACTTTTTAATCTTGTGGTTATAAATTAAAGTTATGTCAAATGTACCAAAATGCCCTTAAATCTTGTGGTTTTAAACATATCACGTGGAAAGTTAAAATTACAGTGTTATAAAAAAAAAAAGGGATCCTTTTTTTTAAACAAACTAAAAAAAAAATAAAATTATTCTTTTTAAAACGAAAAGAATATTTTTAAATTTAAAGCTTACCTCCGAAATTCTAGAACTTTAACGCCCTATAAATTTATATGCCTTCAATTTACGCTCCAAAGCCTTTTCTTAACGGAAATTGCCCCACAAATGTTTTTGAAAACCCCTCCTAGTTATTGATGTAATGTGAGAAAATCTAGTATTGATGCTTGTCTTCTACTTTTAGAAATAGTTGTACTTTAGAAGAATGTTTCATTTTCCTTACTTTTGGGGCACAAAAAGAAAATTCAGTAAAAATAGCGCGTTAAGGTCATTTCGCGTAAATTTACTCAACTCCATGCCCTAATTTAGTCGCCCCAATATCCACCTCCTTAAGCTTTCCCTCCTCTCTTTCTCTCTCTAGAATGCCCTTTACCTTTTTACAGTCAATATGAGAGAGAGAGTGTATGAAGACTAACAGTAGTAGCAGTTGATTAGTATATACTGAAAGGAAAAAGTAAAGGTATGATATAGAGAGAGAAACAATGAAACACATTTTCAAGAAGCTTCATCATTCAAATCGATCGAACGATGCTCAATCTACTTCATCAATATCATCGTCATCTTCACCTGCATCATCGTTGTCTTCGGCGTCATGTACTACTGATCATCGGAATTCCAATTCGGTTTCTCAATCACCGTTGAGTCCTTCCACGATTTCAACTGCGTCAACGACGACCACTCCTGCTGCTCCAGTGGGGGCTGGTGGTGGTGGTGGAGGAGGGAATTTATCTACGATCAACAGACAGCAGGACTATTATACTTCGGAGGAAGAGTATCAAGTGCAACTTGCCCTAGCTTTGAGTGTGTCATCCTCCCAGTCTCAAGATCCTTTTCCCTCTGATGTTAATTCAAGCAATGGTCATGGTGTAGGGCGAACCGCTGTTGACTTGGCACGTGATAGAGAGGATGCCGCTGCGGACTTGCTATCGAGGCAGTATTGGGTAAATCTTGAAAAAATTCTTGAATTGTTGTTGAATTTGCTTCCATTAATTTTCACATTGTTAATTAAGCTGATGGTCTTATTAAACTTGCTATTTGTGATTAGTTCAAATTCAAGTGAGAATATCTCCTTATCTGCTGTTATGACCTTTTGGTATTGTCACGCTAGTGTAGCACTTTGAGTTGTAAACTTGGCAAACAATGTAACTGGTAAAAGGTTAGATTCAGTAACTGAAGTGAAGGGTTAGCCTTTTTCTTGATTTTTTAGAAAATATATTGTTAAACAACAACAATATACCCCGTGAAATCCTACAAGTGGGGTTATGGGACAGGGTAGAGTGTACGTAAAGGTACAAAGGTTGTTTACGATAAACCGTCAGTCAAGGTTTAGAACACTAAGAAAAAGAAATAAGTGAGTTAGACATGGAAGACCAAGATGCGGAGTTGTAGTTTAGATTACGTGTTTCAAGCAAAATGTTAAACTTGGGGTGCTGATCTATCCAAAACTCAAGCATTGCAGCACCTTACCATCTATTATATAAATTACATTGATTTGTTGTATTTCTGTATTTTTCAAATAGAAGCCTGACAAAGGAATTGTTTAGCGAGGATATTAAGGTATGCCACATATTTCGTCTTTTTTTCTTGTGACAGGGATGCAGAGATTTTGCAAAGTTGCAAGCACATTTTCTCTATTCAGCTTCTTATGTTTCTTAGCTGGTTCGAGTTTAAACATTCCGTATAATGGATATTTAAGTATCATAGGTGATAAGACTATGACTGCCTAACATCTCTGACATGCTATTTTTAATTTGAAAGGCACATGCATTTTTTTGGTTCAATAGGATTTGTCTTGTTATATCTGTCGTTTGTTTCATCGTAAAGATTTGAATAGGTTCCTTTCCTAACAATACTTTATCGATTCGGTTATTCCCTTTTGGGCCTCCCCTCTAAAAGCTTAATAATTTCTATTATATAGCTAATTCCTGGAATATGTTTTCTATTGAAGATGATTGTCAGTTTGGTTCTCATAATTTGGTTTCCAATCTTTTGTCTCACTTATTTCAGGATTATGGTGTGATGGATTATGAGGAGAAAGTTGTTGATGGCTTCTATGATGTATATAATCTCTTTACAGATCCAGCAAGTCGTGGGAAAATGCCATCTCTTTCTGAACTTGAAACAAATCCTGGGACTTCTAACTTTGAAGGCGTGATAATTAATCAGAGAATTGACCCCTCCTTGGAAGAGTTGATGCAGATTGCACACTGTATTACATTGGACTGCCCTGCCAGTGAGATTAGTCTGTTAGTACTGAGGCTTTCTGAACTTGTAACTGGGCATTTAGGTGGCCCAGTAAAGGATGCAAATATCATATTGGCCAAATGGATGGAAATTAGCACTGAGTTGAGGACATCACTTCACACCAGTGTGTTGCCAATCGGATCCCTAAAAATTGGGCTTTCACGTCACCGTGCACTGCTTTTTAAGGTGATTATCATAATAAAATGTTGTGCCTGTTTCTTTCATTGGGACAGAGGGATTTAATAACTTGCCATCCATAATAACAAGCATTGGATAGAGGCGATGTTACTTGGCTTTCCGTTGATTAGATATACTTAATTGATGTTTGAACAGTGCTTATTACGCTTGGAAATAGGTGTTGAGGATCTTTTGCGTAAAATTTTACAATTTCTTCAACAGTTTAGGACTTTTTAATAATGACAATAAACCATTTACTTAACTGTTATCCATGATAAACCTCTATCAAGGAAAACTTTCAATGTAGAAAGTTATAGTTACAATTTAAAATGATTTTTCTGCCTAAATCTGTTTGCTTCATCTCATAGGTAATATATATAATAAGGCTATGCTCTTTATGTTTAGTCTTGCAATATTTCATCTATTACTTTAAAGTTTTAGATTAGATGCGTGTTCTCTTTCACAACTTTCAATACATTTAGCAGAGAACTTGGGAAGTACCTCTCATCTTCAAGAATCTTTAGATGTTCTGTAATCTACCTAGAGCTGGGCCAATTTAATCTGCATCATTAATTTACAAAGCTTTTGTTACCTTGCACCATTACAATTCAACTCGAACTATGCAGAGTCTTCTTCTGTACTTGTGACCTCATTCAACTGGACCTCTTAAACTTTGTAAAGGTATCTTTGAGAGGGTTGAATGTAATTCTTTTATTTTAACCACATATAAGTATCGCTTAGTGGGAATTTTTCTATTGAAGTTTGGCAACGTTATGCTCTTATGGCATTTAAGTGACTAGTGTCTTGTCTAATAAGATTTGTATCATCTTCATCGCTGTTGTTTTTACTTGAGGCAGGTACTAGCTGACCATGTTGGAATACCCTGTAGACTTGTTAAAGGGAGTCACTACACTGGTGTTGAAGATGATGCTGTCAACATTGTGAAGTTACCGAATGATAGGTGAATTATGAAGTTCAATAGCTTTTCTCAAATCTAACTATAGTCATCAATCCAAT